TTGAATTCAGACCTGAAACTGAAGTTTACTTTTAAGGTAGGCTAAGTCTATATTTTTACAATAACATTTAGTTAGGCCTTGTTAGTTAATTTCCTAGAAAAAAAAGGCCACTGAACTCTGGTGATCTTTGATATTTTGATGTTGTTCAGGTAGATCTCCACCTAGCAAAGGTTGTCTACCCCTGCTCTAAATGCTGCTTAACATGGACCATTTTATTTGGGTTGAGTCTGGAGCTGCAGGCTTGTGCGGGCCCCAGTGCAGTACTTTTCCCAGGGGCCCATGTTGCCATTAGGGTGGCCCTGCTGCTCATTAAACCTTTGTACTGTATCTTCACCAATTTCCCTAGTCCCCTTAGCAAGCCCTGTTCTTTGGATATGCCATGCATTACATAACAACAAAGTTCTTTAATAAGTTGCTAAATATGACAGATGAACAGTTTAGCAAGTTGTCTTCCACATATTTCCCTGCACAAATTTCTCTAAGTGGTCCTCCCTTTTTACCCCATGAGGTAGTCATACCTTCCTTAGGTGTGAAAGTTCTTTTAGAAGTCAATTAGAGTCCTTTAGAAAGACAAGAGTGTTTGGTAATTGGTAGCATAAGTCCATACCGTTGGAACCTCGACCAGGCTCCTACAAGGGGTGGTAAAGCATCAGAGTGGCAGCTACAACTTTAGCAGGTGGGAGGACCCTGAGAGACCTAGTGCCCCTTTTTGTTTGTTTGGACCTGCAGAGGACAGTGATTCTCTGAAAAGTGTGGGAAACATTGCCTAGCAGAGTTAACCTTAGCTTCTCAAGATTTACCAGATCAGTAGGGCAACTACCAATAACACTACAATAAACCCACATAAATGGTTTTCACAAAGACATGCACACAAAGTAACCAAAATCCACAACAGTAAAACATATAAGTAAAACATGAATCACAGGGAACACTAAGGAAGCACCTGCTTACATGGAATGTTTGTTAGATCACACGCCATACTTTTTTCATAACTTTATTGAAATGTTACAAATGTTAAAAATGCCACGTGTCCTGCATTTCTTCAGCACACACCACTGCCGTGGGAGTGTGTAACCTGAACTGATAGGACATAAGGCAAATTGCTTTGAATGTGTGCTTGGACTGCCTTGGACAAGGTTGCATGGTGTAGCTCAATGCATATGGTATGAATGGCCTATAATGGGCGCATACAGCTATCTAAAGCCAAACGTTTTTACTTTAGTTTTAGATAGAATAGGGAGGGCTAAGAACCCCTTTCAGGTTTTTAATGTTGTATGTGTCCACGTGGGGGAGAGTCACCCTCTTTATGTTTCCTGGTCAAAATTGTCACAAGACAGATAGGGAAAATCCAAAAATTTGAGTTTCATTACAACAGAAATAAGGACATCTTCCAATGAGAACATTATTCTGGTGACAACTGTCTAAGATGGGTTTTCTTCTTACTTCCTATTGTATCTACAGGGAAGGAAGTGAGGATAATTATCCCCAATCAGACAGCAAAAAAAGTCTAACAGGTGTTTTTTAACTATTCTTTACCCTAGACAAAACTAGAAAAAATTTGCTTTAGATATTCTTTCATGGGCACACCTTATGTAAGAATGTTCACTAATTTTATAAAAATAAATTTAATTCACTGTATTAATAAATAACTACTTGGTCCATAGTAACATTGATGATCATCATCATTTTACGATCAAATGAACAAAAACTGTAGACTACAACTGCTCACTAATTAACTGACTGAAAAAATACAATATCAAACAAAGAAGTTAAACTATGGCTTTAATTGAAGAGAATACTGTAATTGAAAGGGCCAGTTTGCAAATTGGGTGACAAAGTAAGTTCAATAAATTCCCTGCTGTTTTAGTTGGACTAGAGTATTAAATTAAATACTGGTATTGAATTAAAATTCAAGGAGGCTCGGTCAGTAGCATTTTCTTCTTGCAGAGGTCTGTATATCATGTTATTGCTATGACTCAGATCTAAGCATATATGTAGTCATTTTCTGCTATCAAAAAAAAGCTGTAAAAAAGTAAATAAATAAATATGTAATTTCAGTAATCTGTCTCAATTTTCAAAGTGCCTCCTTACATTAGATGTCCCCATCAAATGTTTCCATCAGAATGCCCTTTTTTTATCAGGTATCCTCATCAGAATGATTCCATGCATTTTAGTGCCAAGCAGGCAGAGGGCAGGAGACAGAGCAGGCTGTAGGTTTGGATGGAGGAGGATCCACTATGTGTCCTCCTCTGATGCTATGCAAATGGTCCTAGCAATTGTGGACTGCAAAAAAGGGGGAACCCCAAAGCACTGGCTGTCTCTCAGTCCAGATAAAACTGTCACTCGGTCCTTGTCTGGACACAGTCTGCCATTTAATGATGACTAGACTAGAAGCTGCAGATGAACTCACCTACTGCTGTAGCTCCTATTGAACATTGTTGGTATGATGGCTATTACCAATTGGCTGGTGTTTAAGGACATTGGTAACTTTAGGTTTGCAGTGGCACCACCAGCATCAAATGTAGATGAAAGGCAACACTCTAATAGTTATTATGCTCTTGTATTGTGTAAAAACAGCTCAGCAGATACAACGTTTCAGGGGGCACAGGACCTCTTTACCATTGCCCTGAGAAACAGTTCCTGTGTTCCCTTGAAATATAGTTGATTGCTGTTTTTATCAAGTAAGCAAAATTACTATTAAAGTGTTGGTTTTACTATCCCAAAGCAAACACCAAAACTGATGTGCATATCAACTGGTATAAAAGAAAATGTAAAGGAAGATGAAAGAAGAGAGCGCACAAACCTTGCGCATTACCTCAATAAATAGTGACTCATTTTATTAATAGGAAATATAGTCACAAAGTGATGGTATAACAGGCATAAGTAACCATAATCCACACAGGGTTACAGGTAAATGTAGAAGAAGATGAAAGAAAGAGCGCACAAACCTTGCGCATTACCTCAATAAATAGTGACTAATTTTATTAATAGGAAATATACTCACAAAGTGATGGTATAACAGGCATAAGTAACCATATTCCAAAGAGGGTTACAGGTAAATCAAAAAGGGGGGGATGAAGGCTAACGCGTTTTGACTAAACAGGCCGAACTGCTGTAATACTGACACTCAGTGGCTGAATGTCTCCTTGCCATGGGAACTCTGCCATACTGAAGTCTCTATCTGCTCAACCCAGCTCTGATGAAGAAGGGAGCACCCTTCGAAACGCGTTAGCCTTCATCCCCCCCCCCTTTTTGATTTACCTGTAACCCTCTTTGGATATGGTTACTTATGCCTGTTATACCATCACTTTGTGAGTATATTTCCTATTAATAAAATTAGTCACTATTTATTGAGGTAATGCGCAAGGTTTGTGCGCTCTTTCTTTCATCTTCTTCTACAGTTTTATTAAGCTTCCCCAGCTTCATGATAGAGCTGCACAACCTCTGATCACCAGCGGATGAACACACAACACGCTGCTTGTCACTAATGCCTGTTTGATCTGAGTCTTTGAGCGTGGGAGATAATGGATCTTTGATAAAAGAAAATGTAAACCTAACTTTTCCAATTTCTGGTATGTGCTGCTGTGCCATGTACTTGTATGGAAAAGTATTCTGCTCTCTTTGTATTGCTTCCTTTGTGAGAAATCCTTGGTGTTCCTGCCGTTCCCTCTGCTTTCCTTTTAACCAGTGCAGGAGCGGGTTGCTGTTCATAAACGGCACCCGCTCCCTGGGAGCGCGCGGCACCGCGAACACTCTGTGTGAGGTCCCGATCATGTGATCACTGATTGGCCAATCAGTGATCACATGAATAGTAGTAAGCAAGATGTCACTTCTGACATCATTGCTTACTACGTGTGAAATCTGTGAATGATCACAGAGATCACATGGTACAAGGCTTTCACAACAACCTTGTACCATGTGACCATCACAGCTCACACAGTATTTCTCAATGATTGCAACAATACAGTCAGAGAAAAGGAGAAACTATTGCTTTTACAGCCTTTATGGGTGTAAAAGCAATCAGTGTAAAAAAAAGTACACTGTCACCATGGTGACACTACTGCTAGGGTGACAGTATGTTAAAAAAAAAAAAAAAAAAAAATAATAATATAAAAAATAAAATAAAAATGTAAAACAATTTTTGAAAAATTATAATTTTTGGTTATAAACTAATTTGTGTTATTTTTTTTTTTACTAAAAAGATAGATGAATACATTTTGGCCAAGATTTATGAAGAAAGATGATTTATTTGCAAAATTTTATAAGAAAAACACTTGTTTTCAAAATTTTTGGACTTTTTCATTTATATAGCAAAAAAAAAAAAAATCTCAGTGGTGAGTACCGTGTTTTTTCCTCCATAAGACGCACTTTTTTCTCCCCAAAAATGGGGGGAAAATGTCAGCGCGTCTCATGGAGCGAATATGGAGCGGCTGGTCGAGTATTTCCACCGTGTCAGAATACCGGGCCGGCCGCTCAGCTCTTCTCTGCAGCAGGACCTTACCTGTTCCTCAGTCCAGCACTGTACAGTCTTCCCGCGCCAGCATCTTTAGTGTGGGCACCTGGCTGTGACCCGGGTGCCGACTGCGCATGCGTGAGAAGCACTGTGCTTTGTGAATGGCCCGGTGTCTCGCACATGCGCAGTGGGCACACGGCTGTAAACCAAGTGCCCACAATAAAGGGAGTATAACTCCGCGAAAGTGGAAGCGGGTACCTATCACATTCAGGTACCTGCTCCCCCTCCCCAAAGGTCCACAGTCTCTGGTCACCCCCTGTACTGTCTGCAGTCTCTTGGTCATCTCCTTTACTGTCTGCAATCTCTTGGTTATCCCTCCTGTACTGTCTGCAGTCTCTTGGTCATCCCCTTTACTGTGTCCGCAGTCTCTGGTCATCTCCTGTAGTATGTGGAGTCTCTGGTCATCCCCTGTACTGTCCGCAGTCTCTGGTCATCCCCTGTACTGTGGCCGCAGTCTCTGGTCATCTCCTGTCTGTGTCCCAGTCTCTGGTCATCTCCTGTACTGTGTCCGCAGTCTCTGGTCATCTCCTGTACTATGTCCGCAGTCTCTTGGTCATCTCCTGTACTGTGTCCGCAGTCTCTGGTCATCTCCTGTACTGTGTCCACAGTCTATGGTCATCTCCTGTACTGTGTCCGCAGTCTCTGGACATCTGCTGTACTATGTCTGCAGTCTCTGGACATCTCCTGTACTAATGTCCGCAGTCTCTGGTCATCTCCTGTACTGTGTCCGCAGTCTCTGGTCCCCATACTGTGTCCGCAGTACTGGCCATGTCTTGTACTGTGTCCACAGTCTCTGGTCATCTCCTGTACTATGTCTGCAGTCACTGGTCATCTCCTGTACTGTGTCCGTAGTCTCTGGTCATCTCCTGTACTGTGTCTGCAGTCTATGGTTGTCCCCTGTACTATGTCCGCAGTCTCTGGTCATCTCCTGTGCTGTGTCCGCAGTCTAAGGTCATCTCCTGTACTGTGTCCGCAGTCTCTGGTCATCTCCTGTACTGTGTCCGCAGTCTCTGGTCATCTCCTGTACTGTGTCCGCAGTCTCTGGTTATTTCCTGTACTATGTCTGCAGTCTCTGGTCATCTCCTGCACTATGTCCGCAGTCTCTGATCATCTCCTGTAGTAGGTCCACAGTCTCTGGTCATCTCCTGTACTGTGTCCACAGTCTCTGGTCATCTCCTGTACTGTGCCCGCAGTCTCTGGTCATCTCCTGTACTGTGTCCACAGTCTCTGGTCATCTCCTGTACTATGTCCACAGTCTCTGGTCATCTCCTGTACTGTGTCCACAGTCTCTGGTCATCTCCTGTACTGTGTCCACAGTCTCTGGTCATCTCCTGTACTGTGTCTGCAGTCTCTGGTCATTTTCTATACTATGTCTGCAGTCCATTGGTTCAGAATATTTTTTTTTCTTGTTTTTCAGCTCTAAAACCTAGGTGCGTCTTATGGTCAGGTGCGTCCTAAGGAAGGAAAAATACGGTAAATATAACCAAAATAAAGTTTTATCTATCTCAAAAAAAAGCTAAAAAATTAATATGGGTACAGTGTTGCATGACCGCACAATTGTCATTCAAAGTGTGACAGCGCTGAAAGCTGAAAATTGTCCTGGGCAGAAAGGAGGTGAAAGTGTCCAGACTTGAAGTGGTTAAAAAATGACCACACTAGGCATGACAGCACAGTATGGCCTGTTGTCTACTCTCCTCTAATGATCAGACTTGTACGTACACCTCCCCCCCCCCCCCGCACTGATGTTCACTGGGAAGTTCAGAGTGCTGCTGTTTCTCCTCCCCCAGCTCTCTGAGATCCTTATGCAGTTGAGCACAGAGGGTATGTGATCACTTATATAGAATAGGGAAAAGGTATTTGGAATGTTTTATATATGTATAAATGTTTTTCTTTCATTTCTAAGATGAGGGTTCACATATACTTTACAGGGGAGCACATATGTTTGCAGCCTTCGTGCTGCCCCTATATTTAGTGTACTGCTAAATAAAATGAAATTCTGCTGACTATAGCATGAATACCTAGGAGATAGCAGGATCACAGTATGTTTTTCATTATTTGTTCATCAGAAACTTGTTTATTGCATCTGTTAAAGCTACACGAGTTTTCCATTTTTGGAGCTAGAATTTTCAAACTTTCCAAGTCTGTCATCCACAAAACCAATTTATTATGTAAAATACATAAAGAAGAAACTAAAAAACTAAATGGCACATGGAACACACAGCAAAAGTTATAAGTCAATATTTTAAAAATGAAATAAATGCACTCCCCAACTAATTAGTTTTACCAGTCTGGTTGCTGTGTCAGGCACCAATGGTTTTCTGAATATTTTATTGGATTGCTTGTACGTTTGCACAAATTGCAATTACGGTAAATAAACAATAGACTTTCTTTTTTTAAGATATTCAAAATTATGTAAATGTCAAACCTATGTTTCTGTTCCGTGCTCTACATCGATGTTCCTTCATCTAACTTTTAATTAGATAAGAGTGCATGCTCAGAATAGGAAAACATTGGCTATATTATCCACCCAACCAGAGCCATTGGGTCTTGCTACACTTTTTAATTAATTTTTCAGCTACACACTTTTCCCATAAGGGAGCATTAGCACAGTCACCGTATACAGTGGATTTACAGCATGTCTGAATTATTCGCCTTTACTGTGACTGTAATAGCGATGTATCTCTTTATTGCATGTTGGAATGTATAGGGAAATCATTTGATAAAGGATATGTGACACTTCCTTTTCCTGCTTGTAATAATCCAGTTCACATATGAAATAACTGAAGACTTGCATTTGTCATTTAATATTTTGTATTTAAAAAGGGGTTAAAAATCACTATTTCATCATTTAGCTGAACTGATTTATTTTATGCATATCTTTTCCTACTGATTTAAAAAAGATCTAAAGTAGGAAAAAATGGCTTCAATACAGTATAGTACATGAATTGAGAATTTCACATGTAATCACCCAAACCAAAATTTTGAGAGTCCATAATCTTTGACTATTCAGTTGATGACAGTAAAAAGACCAAACAACAGCCAATACATTTCGGGGACCAAAAACAGCCCTTCATAAGGTCTGGTGTGAAGTAGCAGAAATCTATATGGACTCAAAAATGTTCCTTGTCATGTTGCTGTTAAACCATTACTAGGACCTCTCTTAACCTCCTTGGTGGTATGATTCTTTCTGATTTTTTGTGCTGAAAGCGGTACCATTTTTTTGCATGGAAATATGTCGTTTTTTATTGTAGGCTGTAATTTTTAGGAATAACTCACTGAAATCTGTCCGAACAAGAGTCTATTAAACATCCCGGGTATGATAAAATTTGAAACACGAAATCATAAGTTATAATTGAATAAATAATCATAAAAAATAATAATATAATAATAATAAATTTAATTCAATAATATAATCAAGCCAAAAACACTGAAATTTGAAATACAGAGGCAAATTCGCACATCGCTGAGCAAAGTCGCAAAATAGTTTTCAGTGTCTGATGACGAATTTCCCCATGAATCATTATCACTATATTCTGCAAGTGGTTCTGATTTACTATCGCTGTTCTAAAACCGCTTTTGACGTAAAGGGATGCTTTTTGGACGCCATGGACTTTTCTAAGTTTCCAGGCAGAAAGAACAGTCAAAATGCAGGCAGGGCACAGGACAAAGCAGTAGGGACAAAATGTATGTGAAATGCATTGAAACAGCAATGACAGCAAAAATGACATTTTTTAAAAATTTCAAATTTCCAGCCGGTTCCGGCGCCCGTACGTCCCGACGTCACAGGGACCGGAACACAGAAACCGGATGCCGGCATCGGCCGGAGGAAATGGCCAGGGACTCTGCAGGGGACACATCGTGGGAGCGAAGGACAAGGTAAGTGCTGCAGGGACCCCTTGAGCAACGCCGCATGGTAAGCCCGAGTGTAGCTCGGGGTTACCGCTCTTAGTATAGAAATTTTGCCCCGAGCTACACTCGTGATTACCGCTAAGGAGGTTAAAATAACGTATTTTAAATGTACCATTTAAAAAAACATATGTATAAAAATTAAGATATTACAATATTTTATTAATACATTTGATAAAATTCTAGATATCCATAAAATCACAAATAAAGTGCACATATCATATGACGTTAAAGCACAATGTATGTAACTTCTAATCTGACTATCTCAACACCCCACTTGATGCATTTCACGGCTAGACATGTACGATTCATTTTATTACGAATTTAAATAAGGACAAACTTTTCGTTATTCGGAGATTCGGATGCATCTGAATCTCTGAATCACAATAGTAATGAATTGCAATGAATACAAAATAATTTATAATGAAAACCAGAAATTCATTTGTATTCATTTTTTTCATTCGTTTGTGACTTTAGAGTGTTTTGTTTAATAATAAGTACTACTTTGTATTGCTATGATTGGCTAAAGCCAAAGTCAAGCAAAACATCAACGTTGCAAGCAAGTCGCGTTAAAATCACAAGCAAATCACACTGAATTAGTAAGCAAGTTGCAACTCATAACATATTAATCCGAATCTTCCAAAATAATCTGAAAAAATCCAAATATACGAAAAAAATTATGAAAACAAATAATTCTAACATAACGAGCATGACAAAGCAAAATGATTGACTTAACAAAATAATCTGAAGTGAAATGAAACAAATTTGTTTCGTCATGCACATCTCTGCTCTTGGCTTTAAACAACACTTCTTCATGATTGGGTTGTTGATATCATGTATGTCTCATATATTAGCTGGTCCATCTGGTCCATTTTGCAGTTATCACTGGTCCTATTGCAAACTGGCAGTTATACCCTCTGACTACAGAACAGCCTGTTTAGCAGCACTTTTGAACCCATTTAAATTTTGCTATTTTACACCAGCCCTGATGAAAGGGAACATTTTAGCTACCCAAAACACATTGGCTGTTCTCTCTGAGGGATTAGACCATCTCTGTTGCTTTTCTTTCTTTATGTAATTCCAAAAAGGACCCAATGACATTGAGATTATGACTCTCTGGGCAGCTATACTTTCTCTTTTGGGACTTTTTGTTTTTCTTGTTCCTTTGTGTCAGTAGCAGTAGGAAGAAAAGGAAAATAATTGAAAGTAGGGACTTCTTTGATGTAACAGAGAAGATTTTCTTTCATTCTTCATGGATAGAATGGTGCTACTGCTTAGATTAAGGCTATATCAGCAATTGTGGAATTACAGAAGACGTGGGGGAAATGGTTGGGATGTCAGAGCTCAATAGAGATTATGTTAGTTTTTTCTATCCCAAATTCAAATGAACTGAGCAATATGTGATTTTTATTTGATCATCAGCACTCTGTATTTGACTCCATCCATCTTCCCATCAACTCTGACCAGCTTCCCTGTCCCTGCTGAAGAAAAGCAACCCCACAACATGATGCTGCGACCACCATGTTTCGTGGTGGGGGTGGTGTGTTCAGGGTGATGTGTGGTGTTAGTTTTTTGCCAAACATGGCGTTTTGCTTTTAGACCAAAAAGTTCAATATTGGTCTCATCTGACCAGAGTACCTTCTTCCACATGTTTGCTGTGTCCCTCACAAGACTTCTCACAAACTGCAAATGGAACTTCTTATGGCTTTCTTTCAACAATGGCTTTCTTCTTGCCACTCTTCTATAAAGGTCAGATTTGTGGAGTGCAAGACTAGTAGTTGTCCTGTGGACAGATTCTCCCACCTGAGCTGTGGATCTCTGCAGCACCTCTAGAGTCACCATGGGCCTCTTGACTGCTCCTCTGATTAATGCTCTCCTTGACCGGCCTGTCAGTTAAGGTGGACGGCCATGTCTTAGTAGGTTTGCAGTTGTGCTATACTCTTTCTATTTTTGGGTGATGGATTGAACAGTGCTTTGTGAGATGTTCAAAGCTTGGGATATTTTTTTCATAACCTAACCCTGCTTTAAACTTCTCCACGACCTTATCCCTGACCTGTCTGGTGTGTTCCTTAGCCTTCATGATGCTGTTTGTTTACTAATGTTCTCTAACAAACTTCTGAGGGCTTCACAGAACAGCTGTATTTATAATGAGATGAAATTATATCCAGATGGACTATTTACTAATTATATGACTTCTGAAGGCAATTGGTTCCACTAGATTTTAGTAAAGGGGGCTGATAGCTAATACACGCCAGACTTTTCAGATATTTATTTGTAAAAAATTTTGAAAACCTTTTATCATTTTCCTTCCACTTAAGAGTGATGTGCCACTTTGTGTTGGTCTATCACATAAAATCCCAATAAAATACGTTTATGTTTTTGGTTGTAACATGACAAAATGTGGAAAGTTTCAAAGGGTACGAATACTTTTTCAAGGCACTGTAAAACTAAGAAAAACATTTTGGCTTTAGACATACCTTAAAAGAAAAATCTTGCTTGAAATTTGAATATGGTTTTGCTAATCCATATTGCCTCCATTTCATAAATATGTGACTATCCACAGCCTAGAAACAGTTCTACTTTAAAATCAAACTTTGTTCATTTCATTCCATCAATAAAATGGTAAAGTCTAGTATAAAAATATCCTCTGTATACAACTGCCACTCAGGACCATGGTAACAAATTTTACAGCGATGATGTTGTATAACTGTAGAACGACTTAGCCGATCAATTTGAAGGAAGCAGATGGCACTAATAAATTTCTACAGAATTTAAGGTGTAAACTCCTAATGATGCTTATAAAAAGCATTCCATAAAAGAGACTCAAATGGTTTACAAGTGTATTGCCATCTCACTGTAAGGATGAGTGATCTTCATCAATCAAATGAAAAAGTGCTGTAGTAAATTATGGCTGGAAGATACGTATAATAAAGCATGTTCTTCTAATGATCATACCTGTCTCATCTTCCCTGTTATTATAATGGCCTATGAAGGCACTTGAGAATGGCTCATTAGAAGACGGTCCTTCCGTTAATGCATATTCATGCTGAACATCAACTTCAGAGTGATGCAGGGATAAATACAATTAAAGTGTGCATAAAATGGAGACAGACCCATAAAACACACTGTTTGCCTCAGTTGTTAATTATGAAAGTATTTAATCTTTTTAATGAATAGTGTGCTACCTGCAATGCATTTAGTTCTGCTTTGCTGAATGCTAAATGGCTGCTTACTATAGCAAAACGTTATTTCTGACCTTTGTAAGCAAAGGTGGCCATTAACAGACAGAAATCATGGTTAGTTAAGTGACGATCAAGCTTTTGGATAACTTTTTATGTGATAAAACAGCCATTTTCACTGTGAGGTTGAAGTTTAAAAGATGATTCAGACAAAATATATATATATATATATATATATATATATATATATAAGAAAAGCAATAAAGCAGAGGGATAGAAGGTGATTATCATCAATCTAAAAACAGTTGGCCACAATCCCAATAGAGATGCCACATATAAGAACTTCTGAATGTAATTTTTTGATTTATTCATTCATTTTTGTGAATAACACACAGTTCCCAGACAATCAAATAATAGAGAGGGAGCAGCAACAGAGTATGATATCCCTGACTTGGGTAGCAAGGGAGCGACTTCAAGAGACATTGTAAGCTGAATAATAGCGATCCTGATGTTATTAGTAGTAATGGCAGTGTAGCAAGTAAATGACTAAACCACCCAGTAATGCTATAACTAGGCTGCAGCTAGACGGAGCTCTAATGATTTGTAGTGTGACTTCAGGAGACTAATGCCACATTAAACTCGGAATGCAAGTGAGCAACACGTGTTTGTGCTCTCCACTTTGATACAGTTTACCCTAGGCTCACACCTAAGCCTTTTCCGCAGTGTTTTGCATTTTACATATATGTATCTATGTATTTGGAAAGATGAGTCATACAACCCATGTAAAAAAAATAATATAAAAAAAAAATTAAAAGAGAAAAGAAACTGGATAAAATAGAAACCAAGACAGCAGTTTCACAGTATTTTTTGTTTTCAGTAGATATAAAAATACATACACGAGATGAAGAGAACTATAGAGCTAGTTTCCATGTGTCAGCTTAGATCAGGCATGTCCAAAGTCCGGCCCGTGGGCCATTTACGGCCCGGGGGTCGGTTTAATACGGCCCTCCAACAGCCCTCCCTGCTCTGTGTAATGTGGCCCTCCCACGGCCCTCCCTTCTATGGCAGACAGTCTTCTGCTTGAGAGCAGAGGGCAGTGCGCATGCCTGACTGCGGCGCGTTCTCCCTGGTCTGTGTAAATGCGGCTGTCGCATGGCCCTCCCTTCTGTGGCAGACAGTCTTCTGCTTGAGAGCAGTGTGCATGCGCTGGGAGAGACAGAGGGCGGTGACGTCAGGGCCGGGGCTTCCAGTGTGTTTCTCTTCCCCTCCCAGCTGCCGAGCAGAGATTTCAGCTTCAGCTACCTTTTTCACTCTTCACATTAGTGCAGGTAAGTTTTTTTTTAATTTATTTTCAATACATTGTGAAAACTCAGCTGTCAGTTGATCTTAATGTTATGAAATGAAAAGTATGTCGTTTGCAATTAACTTGGCATAAAATAATTTATTTGCATTTAATTGTAATGGTTCAAACAATGTTCGGAAAAATGTTCGGCCCTCCACCGTGTTCACTTCATCCAATCTGGCCCTCTTTGAAAAAAGTTTGGACACCCCTGGCTTAGATTGTTCTAGTAATTGTAGCAATCCTGAAGAAAGCTACTATTAGGACACAGTGCCTAGTTCAATGGTTAGGCCATGGATGAATATACTGTAAAGTGTATACCTTAACCCTAGGTTCACACCTAAGCGTTTTCTGCAGCTTTTTGCAGAAACGCAGTGCAGTCCATTTAACATGATTTCCTATGGGACATGTTCACATCTCCGCTTTTTCACCCGGTGCATTTTTTGGAAAGGGTCAGGGACTTTTTTTAACACAAAAAGTTGCATTTTTGGTGCTATAGATTTCAATGGAAATGCTGCAGAAAAGCATGTAGTGCATTTTTGCTGACTTTTGATGCATTTTAAATCTGTCTAGCAATGAAAAATTTTCAAAAAATAAAAAATGCAAAATGCATCAAAAACACAGGTGCAAATACGCAAAACGCAACACAAAAAGCAATGCAGAAATGGGTGAAATGCAACCTGCATAGGTGTGAACCTAGCCTTAGTCACACTTTGTTTTATACTATCTTTGTTTAGTTTTTGTGTTTGTTCTGATCTTCACTTTCTCTGTTTTATACACTTTTCCATGTGGCCTGCTCTGCCACTATAAAGAAAGTAATTGTTTGTGTAATGTCACCCATTTATATTGAACACATTAAACTTGGATTGCAAGTGAGCAACACGTGTTTGTGCTCTCCTCTTTGATACAAATACTGCAGGCTGCATCTTTGTCATACCTCACACTCAGATCCCTGGTAATCCTGTAACAGCAGCATTGAGGTTTTACTGTATCCATTGCACACCTTACCATTGTCCACAGCTCATGCAGGGTGCTAGTGTAGTAAATTAGTAGACGGTGCCACTTACAATAATAAAAAAAAACTCTCTACCAGCACATCTTTGTATAGGGATAGCCCTGTCCGTTATTTCCATTAAGCTACAGGCATCACAAGGCATGTGACCCTGTGGCGTGGTCCTTAGAACAAATTTATAAGAACCATGTTTCTCATCACAAGCCCAAATATTGTAATCACATAACATATCAATTATGAATTAGCATGCCTTTACTGAGTTTGTAGAAAAGAACAAGAGTTTTAATGAAAATGTCCAATCAATAACCTTTTCAGTCACACGTAGCATGCTGGTGTTTCCTTTAATAATTTAGACTTGCGTTTCTATACTATCTTTCTTATTTTTAAGTACGTCATGCAGTGTCATAAAATGGATGTATTTGCAACCAGTACCCCATGCACCTGTGCTGTGTATACAACACACGCTGTTGTAAGCTTTTGCATATAATTAAGCTACAACAGTTATTCAGTAGGCAAATAACAGGAATTTTTAAAAAATGATGGAGCGGTCAAAACAAGCCAATCATATCAGGCATACAGAAGCCAGTTTTTGTCATTTTATTTTTGTCTTTAGGCATTGGTATACAACACCTGGCATCCGCCATAACTTATGCAGTTTAATCGTAATGTGAATGAAGGAACCACAGGGAAGCTTCTCTATGTATTATCAATTAGGTTGCCTGTTTCTAGTTAATAACACGCATTCCTTACTCCATGCCTAACTGCAGAGCTATTAACTAAAACATATAATACTGTATGAATATCTATTTTTAGGCAAATGCATAATTAAAACTGTGTACCTGTAGACTAAAAGTGAGCTCAAAAAGTATAATTATTTTTTTTTCTTGTTTATTTTATTTCAAAGAAAAAAAAGTTTAGATGTAAAAAGCTAGCACTGGCTCGGAAATTCGCTTGGCAATCTAATTTTAGTTTCAATTCTCCTGTGCAGTTTTGTGACTGTTCGCTGAAAAAAATTATATGTCATAGTGGAAGATCTTTATTAGATCTTTATTAGGTTAGTATAAAAATAATAATTTTTCTCAGAAATGAAAGTATAATTACAGAAATGCTTATAAAAGGATAAAAAAAAAAAAAAACAAGAAAAGTAAAATAACTATTTCTTTGTAAGGCCTTTTAACTACTTCCCGTCCGCTCTATAGCAGAAGTACTGCTACAGGGCTGCACGGGTGCGCAAAATCACGTATAAATACGGCCATTCGCAGCCGCGGCTGTCAATCACCGGGTCCCAGTAGGTGATTACTCGCCGGCTCCCATTGATTGCCAAGCCTCTCCAACAGGGGGGAGAACTCTTTTTAAACAAAACAGTTCTCTCCCCTGTCAGCTCCTGCACACTGCTATGCATGGCTCTACATAGCACAGCCATGCAAAGCAGTGTGCTTACAGTGAAGCACACACACACAACCCCACAGCAAAACAGCACACATCACACAGTTATCCCTCTGATATATATATATATATATATATGTATGTATGTAAAGCGCTGTGTAAATTGACAGCACTATAGAAGTACCTGTAATAAATAAATAAATAATACAGTTCTCTCCTGTCAGCTCCTGCACAGTGTTTTGTGTAGCTGTGCATAACAGAGCCATACAAAGCAGTGTGCTTACAGTTGAAAGCACAAACACAGGACACAGCACACAGTTAACCTTTTGAGCGCCCCACATGTTAACCCCTTCCTGCCCAGTGCAATTAATACAGTGTCAGTGCTTTTTATTAGCACTCATCACTGTATTGGTGTCACTGGGGATTTCAGTGACACCAAGTCAGTTCCCCCCAGTGTCAGAATGCCCACCGCAGTCCCACTCTAAGTTGCTGATCGCCTCTATTACTAGTAAACATTAAAAAATTAAAAAAAAAGAATAACTTTCACGTAAACCAATTAATTTACACGTATTCAGATTTTTTTAGCAAAGGTATGCAGCAGAATACATTTTGGCCTAAATTTATGACGAAATTTGATTTTTTAAATTTTTTTACTGGACATGTTTCTTAGCACAAAGTCAAAAATATAGTTTTTTTTCTCAAACATGTCAGTATTTTTTTTAAAGAGCAAAAAATAAAAAACGCACAGGAAATCAAATACAACCAAAAGAAAGCTCTATTTTTTGGGGGAACATGACATAAATTTCATTTGTGTGCAGCGTTGCATGACTGCGCAATTGTCAGTTAAAATAATGCAGCGCTGTAATGCAAAAAAATGGCCTGGCCAGGAAGAGGGGTAAATCCCCTAGAGGGCAAGTGGTTAAAAACAGCATGTTTTTAGGCATTCAGTTGTTTTTTTATAACTGATCTGCTTTCAGCTAGAGATACGTTTAGATCAGTTAAAAAAAATACTTTAAAATAAATAATGAAATATAAATACAAATTATGGTTTACAAATGTTAGCAGGTTGTGGTTGCATTTGCTACTTTTTTTGAGTAATAACTGGTTGACTGACCTAAACTGGACCAAATAGAAGACTCTGGTCATTCACAGATTAAAAGGAACACTTAAAAAGCTTATCCTTCAGTTTCACCACCTTCATGGGGTTCTTTTTGTCCGTTCCACCAAGTTTTATAAAGGCTATTCATCAACATGCTTCAATGTCCTAATTTTCCTTCATTATACAGTGAGGACTCTAATTGCATTTAATTCCCAAATCCAGACAATTTATTTTATTTTTTTTTTTTTGGTGGGGATAGAGAGAAGATAAGGTACAATTTCTGTCAGGATATGTGGAAGACTTTCACATAGGGCTTCCAGAAGTTTGCACACGCTTTGATTGACTGTTAATGTTTATTTTTGTCTGTGACCCCTTTAGGGCAATGTTTCCTAATTTCCTGACCCTGTGATGCCTGTACACGAAATGAAAGGTGTAGTTGTCCCTGGGACCCTTGTCTACTCAGATAAAAGTAGTCATGTTTTCTTTGTCAGGTTTCAGTAGTAGTGAGCCTTTGTAGAACATCAACTCAGGATTCCCAAGGGTGTGGAGTCTAAGCCACAGCCTTTTTCTTCACCAGGGTCCCTGATGATAGGGAAGGGTTTGCAGCAAGCTGGGACCAAGTTGCAGCCCCTAGATTCACCTAGGTGAAGATGTGAAGGACAGAGGAACTTCGAGGAGACAAGCTGAGGTTAGGGCAGGTGGCAGGCAGCAGAAATGGTTGACAAACCCGGGGTTGATACATGGAAAGTTAGACACTGAATATAAGTAATCCTAGGCCAGCAGGAGCTAAGAGAACTAAGAAGTTGCTCAGGCAACACAGACTGCACTAATCATGTCTTATAATGGGAAGCAGGCTGGGAGGCTGACCAGGAAGTGATAGAAGGGAAAGGGATATCAATCCACAGAAGAACAGAGAGAGGGAAGCAAACAACACATGTCAATAGGATTACAGGCCTAACAGAACCACTGTAGCAAGGAGGTAAGAAATTCACATGCAGGAAACTGCAGGCTAAACTGTAACATTCCTCTTTGTCCCTACCCCTGTTGGAGAGATTTCTCATCACTTTCTGTCTTGACTAGACAAATGCAAATTTTGGATGCATCTGCTATGCATAACCAAACAATTCCAGGCACCTATCCATCAACAGGGTCAACATCTGTATTAGGAAACCTCCATTTCCTCATGGTAACAGTAAGTTGTATGTATGTCATTGTTTTTTCTTTTGCTGTCCAAGTCCCCATTAAAGAGATTCACCCTACTATTTGTCTGATGAGCACTGTCAGCAAAACAGAAAGTGATGAGAAATGCAAAATGTAAAAAATGTCACCAGAGAAAGAGTTGAGGGTAATCTTCCAGAGGTGGCGAAGTATTGTCATCCCTGTCTTTGAGCTTCCCCAGTGGTCACTTCTTTGAAGGTGTACTTTTGTTCTATGTTAGCTATGTGGAGAATAGTTGCAACTTATTTGCAGTATATTCACTTTGGTTTGGTACATCCACGCTCCTGCACCTGTAATAGCATTGCATCTACTGTTATTTTATAAAATCAGCGCTTACTAATTACCTAAGCCCAGGGTCGGACTGGCAACTCATGGGGCCCCCGGGCAATAGGGGATCATGGGGCCCCTGTGTCCTCACCCACACTCAAACCACACCCATAAAAGCCTATGACAGGTACCAGGGGCATCTTATGGGGCCCCCTACTGACCCCAGGCCCTCGGGCAGTGCCCGAGTGCTGAAATGGTCAATCCGCCTCTACCTAAGCCTCATGATGGGGTTCTGTTATTCTAGATTTATGTTTCTTTTTGTTCCACTAGATCAGGGGTCTGCAACCTTTAAGACATAAAGAGCCACTTGGACCCGTTTCCGAGAGGGAAAAAAAGACTGGGAGCCGCAAAACCATTGCAACATTTAAAACAAATCCGACACTGCATATATTGCAAAAAGCGCTCTGGTCATGAAGGGGGTTTAAGGGCCCAGTAAGCAAAGGGTTAATCAGGGCCACAGTGTATCATCATAATCACAATCATAGCCTTAGGTCAGTGGTGGGCAACCTTTTTTTTTCAACTGAGCCAAATCTCGCCAAAACCACGATTAAAATTTATTTTGAGAGCCACATTTTTAAAACTGAAAATACATCCCCCATATAGTAATTCATCCCCCATAGTAATTCATCCCCCCTATAGTAATTCATCCCCCATAGTAA